CGAATGGCTGAGCCGCAATAAGCACTCAAAAGTTGTTTTGAAAAAATGATGTCTAGGCAAACCTTTGCATTGCAGAAGCATAAGAGCATCGCAATTCGTATAAATTGTTCATTTACCACAGAAATTAGTATTTTTGTTCAGAAAGAGAAATTAACACAAAATTCACCCAATTTAAACAATGCGCCAGCATTTTTTTTTTTATTTTCGGGTTAATTTTTCTTTCTGAACAAAAATATTAATTCTTTTATATAAATGGCACCATTCTCTTTCAAGCGCGTACCGATGAGAACGAATTCAAACAACTAAGCTATTGCCGGCCTCCAGGTGGAAGTGACCACTCACACTACCCTTAATCTTTGTAAGGTAATGGTCAGTCCTGAAGATTTTGCTTCGGAAAGTTAGGAGGATCGCTTTTCTTTAAGTGTCAGGGCGTATTAGGTGTTCAGGATCAAGAGAAAGGAGAAAGGGAGAGAGATCCTATTCCTACTCTGATCCTGACATTCAATTTCTCTTTTCTCCTAGAAAGTATTAGTTGTCTTTCATAAGTTCCACTTGCGGCAGCATGTGCCAACCGCCTTGCACTGTTTGTAGTGTCAGATTGTCATACCCAACAACGGTATATGGCAGAAAGACCGGTATGTGCAAAGGGCGGTACGATCCAGAAACTTGTGCCAACCTACTTCACTGTGGAAATTGTGAAGGAGGCCACGCGGCTAACTCGAAGAGTTTCTCTACCTTTCTGAAGGAAAGGGAGATACAGAAGATCTGAGTATCAGAGAAAGTTTCCTTTCCAGAAGCGAAACATTGGTATCTGGCGAAGAATCCTGTGGATCTTACTCGGTCCTTCTCCAGCGCCGTGGCCAAGTCGATTAAATCTACTTCAATTTGCCAAAGGATAGATTCTGCTCACCCAGTAGTCCACTTCTCATTCGAGTGTCTCGTGTGGACTTCCCTGAGGAGACATCGCCCCTGCAAAATGGTAAAATAGTAATTCCCACCAAGTACAAAAAACAGAGCAAGAAAGTCAATCAGGTACGTCTATCCATTAATCCTGTATTACTCAACCCCGCATGAAGGTCGGTGTCTGTTGGCTTTTTATTCCTGACTCGCGGGTAAATGACCGCTGCTCCTACTCCCGAGACTTACTCTGAGCGATCAGTCAGCTTGTCGAGAAGTGGTCAGGAGGACTCTTGCCTCGGAGGAACTTCAGCCGGGGTGGTTACTCACCTCTTCGTGGAGCAGCGAGCGAAAACGAGAAATGAAAAGAAAAAGGCTTAACTACATAGAGTATGCCTCTCCTATCATGGAATTTTAATTTTTGTTTCTCCCGACATAACGAACTCAACCTTCTGCTGTCCCGTTACAGGCCTTCGATAATCTGCTTACCGGAGACGCATCTAGTTCCACCTCGTCGCTTCCACCATTTCGCGGCTTTACCCCACAAAGGGTTCATGTCGATGACTACCTCTTCGCGCATGGCGGAGTTGCTACTTCGATTCACAACTCGCTGCTCTTTACAGATGTTCCATTTCAGGCCGAGATTCAGTGTACCTCGCATCCCTCACGCTTAATGCCTGTAACACTTACATCCCTCTAGAACTGTGTTTCTGCCGACGAACTCGTAGCTTTGATAAACCAACTACCCTCACCGTTCTTAATAGTCGGTTATGTTAATGCCTACAGTTCTCTTTGGGGCTCGCCCTGCTCTTGTCCGAGAGGCAACACATTGGAATCTGTTATAGATACCTCGAACTTGGTAATTCTAAACACAGGTGAGCGAACTCGTTTCGCCGTCGCCACAAATTCGAGTACGTGTACTGATCTAGCTCTCTGGAGCCTTATCACTTGCAACCGTTCTCCAGTGGTCTATTCTAGACGATCTGTTTGGAAGCAGCCGTTACCCCACTATCCTTCTCATTGATGGACTTGTTCATGGATTTGCTCGCTCAATGATGTGTACAACGTGCTAACTGACCTAAATTTCAAGCGAGTTCAGTCTATCGGCGACATTGTGTAGTCGGCAGCACAATTAAATAGTGCTACGCCCGCTCCTCCGTGACGACGAACAAAGGGACTGCACCCGCCAAACACTGCGACGAGTGTCCCAGTTTGAAGATCTCCATTTAAACCAATGTTTTGCTAGCGATGGCGCGGACGCCGTCCGGGGCTTCTAATGGCGAGCATCCGCCGCCGAAAGACATGGCAGTGCTTTGCTGCCAGCCGCGATGTTCGCAAGCGCGCTGCTGTCTGTGTGAAAGGACCCTTAAGGCCCATTCACAATGCAAACGTAAACATAAGCATAGCGCATAGACATAAACATTAACATAAGCGATATGCTGAAGTAATCACAATGCCTAACATAAACGTAAGCAAAATAAGTTTGTATTGTCGGTGAGACTTTCTGGTTGGATGTGAGAATCGATTTCAAGATATCGACTCTATGTCCCTTATGGCGTTAGTTCTTCTATCGACTTCGCTCCAATTTCGATTCTCGATTTTGCGTTACCTTTCTGTGATTAGTTCATTTCGTATGTCTTCCGTAAGCATAAGCACAGAAGCTTCAAGCTTGCAAGCTTTTAAGTTAACATCTTACGTGCTATGCGTATGCGAACGCATTGTGAATGAGTCCGCTTATGGACGAAGTCCTAACGTTTACGCTAACGCCATGCTTATGTTTACGTTTGCATTGTGAATGAGCCTTTACAGTCTCCCCGCGTGCTTAGGGTGGGTGGCGGCTGACCTCTTCGGCTCCCTGGCGACTTCCTGCAGGCAGTGCTCCAATCTTCCTCTCGCTCACAGCCAGGTCCATCGGCGACGTCCGCTTTCCCTTGTCGCGCCGTGGCGGTGATCCGTCCTAGATTGCGATAGCATCCCGGACACATTACCCGGCGAAGGCAATGCGCCAATCGTGCCTACCGTGGCTATCACTTAAGGGTGTCTTAAGCACTCACGAACGTTAGGGTACTTTAGATGCTCTCACAACCGTATGAAACGATACCTTCCTCAAGGCTCGCTCGACATGATTTTGTGAATTACAGCTGCTCTCCTGATTTTTCTGCATTGCTAACGAAATAGTAACTCGCCCTTACCTCTACTCCTACCACTACGTGCAAAAGGAGAGTTCAACAGAACGTGCGCATAGTGAAGCTACGTTTACATCCAGAAGCAAAACAGGGGCCATCTCAGCATTTGCTCAATGTATCAGGGGAACTGGACAAAAACCTGATCGAGATGGGGGTCGTTGACCTGGAAGCTGAAGTACATTATTTGTTGCAAACCTATGAAGTTTTTTTTAAGGATTTATGCAATACAAATGTAAACTAATTCAATATATATCACTGTTTTGCTAAAATAAGCCTTAGTTTTCTTTTTGATAATCGGTATAGTCTAATTGTATAGAAACAGTTATGCAACAGAAAAGATCCTACTTTTAACTTTGTGAACAGACTTCAATTGTGTATTGTCATCTGGCAATACATTGTAAAGTAATGAACATGGGTTGTATGAGGGTTTCTGATAGTGAGCTGTTGATACTGACACTTGCTTAACGTGTGTTGTAATAATAAATATCAGTATTGCATGAAAATCTGTTCCCACTCTTAAGTAAGTCACTTTTGTCAAATATTACACATTCGTAAATATATAGGCAAGGCAGTGGTAAGATTCCAAGCTCAATGAAGAGAAGCTTGCGGGGATTACAAGAATGACATTTTTTCATTATTCAAATAATTTTCTTTTGCAATCATAAAGGTCTGAGTACTACATGAAGAGTTTCCCTAGAATTTTATGCCATATCTCAGGCATATGTTCATTTGCAAAATATATGCAACGGGCTGCATGAAGGCTGCCAGAATTTGAAAGAATTCTGAATGCATAATATAATGAACTTAATTTAGTGTTTAATTTTGTTATATGTACATTTCATTGGAGGTTTGACTGAGTAAAGAGACTTAGAATTATAAATTTTGTTACCTGAACATCAGGTAATTGCATATTGTTCTTTTTCAATGGAGCATGCGATTGCTGATTGGAAATGCAAAATGCATTGAAACTGTTTTTCTATCATTAACTATTAATTTGTTATTGCAAAACCAATTTGAAACTTCTAAAATCATACTATATATTGTTTCTTTTTTGCAAAAAACATTTGTGTCATCAACAAACAGAACTGTTCCATTTTTAATAGACGACGGCAGACAACAGAAAGATGATTAGTAAATAATGTCCTATTTATAATATTTTTTACAAGGGACAGTTTCTTACGAATTTTGTATTTTCAAAATGAATGTTATGTATGTTTTAGAGATACATTAGTGTGTATAAACTGTTGAATCACCTAACTGAATGTTTGGTGAGGTGACCGAACTTCGTTCTCCAGTTCGTATGCCAGCTTGAGCAAACCCTTTGAGATGGAATGATTCGTAAAGTCATTTGTACGTCAATGAATTGATTCCAAAATGAATACCATGTCGCTAGCCATCAATACATTGAGTTAAAATGTGTGACTTTTTCACATGGGTTCAGCTAGTTAGTATTTTTAATGTTTCATTCAATACATAATCAACTTTTTCTGCTAAAAGCCACTAGTTTTGTTTGTTTGGTTGTTTTTTCCTGTGGGTATGATGTTTACTGTTGTGGACTAGATAATATATCATCCTCATTATTGCTCATGTCATTGTTATCCTTGTTATCTCAATTATGTTGAATTAATTTTAGTTAAATGAACAATATTTTTTATTTCAATTATTTTTATAGTCTTTTAATAAAATTGTAATTCAGTGTTGTAATTATCATTGAACACCAAAGATCAATGTGTTTGCAGGTTAATGTTAGAGTTGTAACATAAAATGTCAACTTGTGTAATTCTAATGATAAATTAATGTGACAAAATAAACCAAAAGAAAGTTCTAGTTATTTTAGTATTAGTGTATCTGTTTTCTTACAATGAATTTAATGTCACTTCTGCCTCATTAATTTGGTATTGAATGCTCATGTTCTAGATTCAGGTAGCAGTTCTATCTCTTCACGCTTAAGTCCAAGCACTTCATCAGGGTACAAGTCCCAATCACAAAGATCAGATGCGACCTTGTCTGCCACCCCTTCACCCACAGCCACCCCTACTGGTGGTGTTGGCTCTCTTCCCGATCCTCAGCCAGCACAGCAACCCCCAACAGTGATGTGGGCTGTCACTAGTATGGCTGCTGTACCACCTGGATCTGTGCTTATCAACCCACAGGTTAGTGTTTTAGTGTAGATGTGAAGGTAAATACATTGTTCGCCTTCTTAATGGTAAAATATCTGTTCTACTCAGTCTTTAGAAAGATTTGCCTTATTTTCCCAAATAAATGCGGTTTTCCCCTAAATACAGTGTCTTTATTTTAACTTGCAACCCATGACTGTTATCCAACCCTGTTCTTATTTTGGCAATCGCGTTTCTTTGCCTCCTTTGAAGACAGCCGTAGCTCGTGATTGGATACAGCGGAGGAGGAGGTGAGCGTCAGGTCATAAGCTGCAGCAACTGTCCTATTTCTTTGTTTTTCCCGTTCATGAGTGGACAGGTTCGTGACTCACATGCTGGGATCTTTTCACGCTCCACAAGGTGACTGGAGTGGAATCGGGTGGGCAGAAACATGAGCGGGTAAACAAAATGTCTCTATAGGCGATTCCTTAAAATGACAATAAACTGACCTTAGAGTAAATGTTCAAAGTGACTACTATTTGTCAAGGGAGAGACTTTTCATTTTCAGTATAGTGGTTGCAACACGAAGAAAAGCAATAAGTGCTGTTTCTTTCTTCCAACTAAACTTAACCATATTCCCCCAGTGTGAAAACTGAAGGGAGGTGGCCAGGGGTTGCTAAATGTGAAAGGGATGCACTAGATATTTCATGCATTGCCAAATTGCCTGGGTGGTTTTCCCAGACATGGGTTGCAAGTTAAAGTAAAGACCCAGTATATCATTCGAAAAATAAGTGGTTTGTCTTCTTTATGCAGATTAAGCATAGTCGGTTAGGATTGATGTTTTTACACTAGCCTTTCCATGTCAAAATCCACAATATCATGTACGATTGGATTTGTTAACCCTAGAAGAAACCAGAACAGTAAATTGCAAACGCAATTAATATCATGCGTATTTATAATATCCAATTGTATTCTTATATTCATCAACGTAATTATATATCTTATATATTATATATAGCATATATTACATTCGTCAATATATCCACAGGAAATTTGCTAGGCCATTCAGATCCATATTTTTGAATGGACTGTTGAAGAGAGAATCTCAAAGAAATGACATTATAGAAAGTGAAACACATGAAAAACATAAATCATTATTGAGATAGTTGTGTGGTGATTGACTAGGTCGTGAGGACTTGTGATCAGCAAGTGTAAAATCTGAGGTATGCAAGAAATGGAATATGAAAAAAAAAAAGCATTGACTATTTACTTGTGAAGGTGAAACCAATAGTGTTTAACTATACATAAACAGCCCTGATTGAGGCATTTTCCGTCTTAAAAATTTTCTGCCTTTTTCTAACCGATTGTTCTTACTACTTCCTACTATCCAATTATAAACTGTGAATCGTGTATCTTACAAAGCGGTATAAATTGATCACAATGTCAGTGTCCAATAATTGCGTATGTACTGTAACATAACCAATGATAAAGTATGCCATCTGCATCCAACCATTGATAACACAGAATTGATTTTTTAAAAAAAATCTTGGCCAAAGTGTCCCAAACTTGGAAATTGCTCTCTCCTACATTACCCACATAATGGAAATGTATAAGTTCACTGTTCACTACTCAATACAAATTTTTAGTGTGTTCTGTTAAATAATGTTTAAGAACTGTTAGAGAATGAGAGGCCATGAATAAGAGCACAATAGGAAGAAAATATGATTCAGAAGGGATTGTTCGTTGGTGACATCAGATGAAAGACTAATAAAATTCAATGCACAAAACTGTCGGGAAAGCCCAAAAAATCAGGAGAGACAGTATGATATGAGAACCAAAAAGTAACAATTAGTGATAAATGAGGAAAGGAAAATGCTAGTGACAAATAACATAATTATTAAGATTCCAATTTCTATTAAAAATCCACAATAACATGAAAGATTGGATTTGTTAATACTAGAAAAGAGAAGAGAAAGAACACTTAATAGAAACCTAAATAAGGTATATGATAATTCATGCTTAGACACAGTATTTAACCCAGCTGTAGATCCCAGACTAAGAAGACATTGGGCTAGGCTGATTGAGTGAACGAGAACTGGACCACGAACACATTTCAGCAATAATCGGATTGTGAAACAATGGAATGCTCTCCCAGTGGAATTGAATTGTTGAAGTCATGATTGAAAAAATCAATCCTATAGGCATAATAGTTGTAGACATTTATTTTTATAAATAGTAATGTTACTACTCCTACTACACTATAGTATGTATGTACTTGGCGCGACAGCCCGTGAACGGGCTGAGGCCTACCGGCGACGTCCGTGCCTCGCGGCCATGGGTTAGGTGTGGCCAGGGGGTTGTTAGCATGTAGACTTCCCTACGCCGTATTCCGCTCTTCTCAACCCGAGAAGTGAATTTTCTCATCACACAGCAAAATATACTGGGATATTGCAAGGGAAATGCACACTATAATCTTCACTCGACCGGGAATCGAACCCGGGAACGCGTAGTGGAAAACGAGCACACTGGCGGCGACGACGACGACGACGACGACGACGGCGGCGGCGGCGACGGCGGCGACGACGACGGCGACGACGACGGCGGCGACGACGGCGGCGACGACGGCGGCGACGGCGACGGCGACGGCGGCGACGGCGACGGCGACGGCGACGGCGGCGACGACGGCGACGACGACTGCGACCACCGCCAACTGCTATACTACTACTACTACTACTGCTGTTGTAATTCTGCATCTGAAGTACTACTCCTACTACCTCCACTCTACCCTGAGGATACCTGTGACATGTCAGGCGAAATGTCAGTCTCTCAGCCAACTACGCGGCGTCTCCCTAATAGCCAAGAATTTATGGAATCTTGCCGCGGAAGCTAACGTGTGCGAGATATTAACACGTCTTATTAAGGAGATCAGCTTTTGGGCAGTGTCCATTTATAAGACAAGGTTGTTAAGCCTTGAATTAGGAATTATGGGGCGAAGGAATAATAACAAATACGACCATGCCTAAGCAGGACTGGAACCTGCAGTATCTGCGACGCAGACGGCTCTCGCAATTCCTGACATGTGGGTTTTATTACTATTGTTATTAATTATTTAGTAATTATTACCCCTGTAGAAATTAATACAATTGCCATGGATTGTGATGAATAATATATTTTTGTAGGTTCATTGAACTTGATTGTAGAAAAGACCTGATCACCAATAAATTAATTACTGTAAAGTGTATATCTTAAAAAGAACTTCAACATCCTGGATTAATTATGGAGATAAAGACTGCATCCACCATATTCAAATTTTAAATATTTTCCGGCCTAAAAGGGGTGGTGCATTAATTACTGTACTTCCCTGACATTCAGTACAGACAATAGTTTATTAAAAAAAGGGGGGGCAGGGATAGCTGCAGACACCCTTTTGTCTTGAACATTTTCCAATCTTATAACCTTAAAATTAAAAAAAATAACTATAGGATCCTTTTGTGGATTCAGTGTGTGAGGAATCATTTCTCAATTTAAATTGAACATTAGAATTTTTGTGACAATTATTTTGTATTCAATAAAACCAAGAAAATACACAACATAGCACGGAACACACACAAACACAAACAAACAAACAGGGCTTCAAAATATTCTAGGGTTGTCATATCTTTAAGCAGCACAATCTATGATCACGTCCTGAAAAATAAATAAATCACAAGAAGGGTGCCATCTGAACTTACTGAATGAACTACAATTACTTCCCTTGAGGAGTATTCGTTGGCGTTTTGTCCATGGATGAAATTTGTTTATCTACTCTGAATTGTTTGTGTACCTGTCATGTAGTGAATATGTTAGGGCTAAGTCCAAAATATGTCTAATGGTAGCACATTGAACTAGACAGACTAATGAATGGATCATTTCGAAATTCATCCAGCTTATATTGACAGTGTTAGGACAATCCAGGTTATGTTGCCACAGGGGTGCAGAATAACTAAGGCAAGTGTGAGAATGTGAGGAATTGTGTGTTTGCAAGCAATATTTTAGTATAAAAATACATTAGAAATTATGTATTGCCCAAGGTTGTTTTATGTAAGTAATGACGGTTGAAGGCCAGACCCTAGCGAACACTCAAATGTGTAATGAAGCATCAACTCACGTTTATAGTGAGGTAGGTTAGGTGGCACTATGTAAAAAAGGAATTTATGACTGTCACAGTGGAACTAAAAACTGCACTTGTCTCATACTAGTTGTAGAAACTTCCATAGCACTATGATCCCTGATTATTACGTATCAGCTATTCCTCACTACAGTAACAGACTTCACCTGACCTAGTCCCTTTGTATTGGCTGAAGTACCTTGACATCTTAAACATTTTTTTCGAGTATTGCAATCAGTTGTTGACCTTTGTACCTCAATTATTCACTTACAGAAATGTTGTTACAATAAAGCTTCTCATAATTTTTTTTCTTAGTGAGGGTCTTCTTTTAAATGGAATTTGTATTTCAAAGACCCGTACCTTGCATAAACAATGATGATGGTTTTTGTACTAAATGGTCTTTTTTCCCCCACAGACTGGACAGCCGCTAAAGAATCCTGATGGTTCAGTATATCGGTGGGATCCTACCAATCCACCTCCTCGCATGGACCAATGTGAAGTGCCAGAATCCAAGACAATGTCTGCAACACCAGCAGACTGGTGCAATACAGAATTGGGCAGCTCCTTGCCTTGTTCACAATCACTTCAACAACCACCACAGCACTTACCACAATTATCACAACCCTCTCTTCAACAGCAACCACCATTGCAGCAGCAGTTAGAACAGCAACAGCAGCAGCAAACACATCAACATCAACAGCAACCACATCAACATCAACTTCAGGAGCAGCAGCAGCAGCAGCAGCAGCAACAACATCAACAACAACAACAACAACAACAACAACAACAACAACAACAACAACAACAACAGCAACAACAACAGCAGTTTTCGAGGAATTCACGTTCTCAACAGTCTTCATATCAGCCATCGCAATCACAGCAGCAAAGTAGCAGTTCCAGTACTAATTCAGTGTCTGTTCCAACACCTCAGACTCAATCACATCCAGTGCCGTCCCAAATTCCAGTTGTCTCTACATCACCAAAAGTAACTACTACTGCTACATCACCAGCACCACCTCCTACATCTCCATCCCCTCCTCCTCCCCTGCTACCTGCACCCTCCCAGCCTTCACAAACAACTCCTGTGACAAGTGTTGCTGTGAATGCTGATTCACAGTCAGTACCTGTTCTTGCTCAGCAATCTCAAGGGCAGGCACCTCCAGTTCACCAGTACCAGGGTCAGGTAAGGGTGCATAATAATCTAATAATTACTTGTAGTAATAGTCACTGTGTCACCAAAAGAATTATAATTATTCATAACATGTTAAAATTGAGATTGATGAAGTGTTTTGATAAATGGAAGGTAACACAAAGTGAATCCCCTGTAAAGTTGTACACTCATGGTTCCTTCAATTCAGAGTGCTTGTGTTAGGGGAATGTCCAGTTCCATTGTTATCCTAGAAGATCAACATATTTAGAATGGTTATTTTTTTAAACACTCTTTGTTACTCCAGGAGTAGGACCTTTTCTTCCTTAGTGACAATTTTCGTCATATAGCAACAAGCTGCTAAAGGCAGATTAAGGCTGTCCTTTGACGTTCTTCATTTCAAAGTTTTCGGAAGATCTTTTAGAGCTTTCTTTGCTTGTGCATTATCAGGCAAAAATTAACTTTTTGTGCCATTTCTTACCACTGTCTTGTCAATTTCACTTACACAATAAAGTTGTTGTATTACTGTATAAAAATAGTTGTTCTTAAAAAAGGGCTATTGAAAGAAAATCTTTCTTAATTAAAAACTCTTATTTTCCCTTATTGTCTTGCAAAATTTGAATTCTTGAGGACTTGTTATGTTATGTCTCAACGAGAATATTAATTTTCATATTCAAACCTACTAGTGCAAAATAAAATAAGAAAATTAAAAAACAACTATAATAATAGTAATAATAATAATAATAATAATAATAATAATAATAATAATAATAACAACAACAACAACAACAACAACAACAACAACAACAACAACAACAATAACAGTAATAATAATAAAAAATAATTTTTAGATATTAGTTATAATTTGAAAGAGGTGGATTCGTTTCTTTTTTAAAATGCTCTTAAACCTACTAGGATGTGCTCATTCTTGTGCTGTTGATCAGAATTGAAATGGAACTGAGAAATCAACCATTTCAAGAAATAATGTAAGAAATCCTTTTAACTGTGACATGACGATGGTGGAAAGAAAATGATCCGTGAAATGTCACAAAAAGAACTTGGTCAATGAAGATTAAAACGTTTGATTATGTGATTTGTGATTTTATTTCTAAATTTTTGAAATGACTCATGTGTGTCAAGAAATGTCTATGGCCAAACTATCTTCTGATAAGAATCTTCAATGACATGTTAGCACTGTTATCTTCTTTTGTGATACTGCACTCCTTCATGAGCGCAGTTTTCTTAGACTTGTGTTGTTTGCCTGCTCAACAGAGGGATTCTTGGATGTAACCTTACCTGCAGAACTTCATTTCAGACACTTGGAATTTTTCTGCAAGACTAAGCTTCTCTACCGGCAACTACATTTGCATAAAATTTGATCTATGTTTGTTTAAACTGTGTGTTGTCCTATCATAAATTTCATACTGTTAGGAAATCAGGTTTTAAATAAATTAATAATCCCTGCTCAATTGAATGTTGTGGTAACGAATCCCAATATCATATTAATGCAATCATAAAAGAAAGAAAATGAAACTTGCAATGTTCATTTGAAGAAATGAAGAAACGTAATGAAGTGTTAAAAGAAAAAATTGACAAATTAACTTCTGAGAAGCCAATAGTTGAATGTGATAAAATGACTTCTGTGAGTATTTTGGCAATAAAAAAAATCAAGACTAAAAAATGCCACCAATAATAATTAAACCAATGAAACCAGTTAAAAAGTAACTCGAGACATTGCAATTTTTGTTGGATGGGTAACAAACTGGGAACCCTGAGATCTAAATGCACCAAGCCCCTGGCAAAAGAGATTAAAGGTGACAACTGGTTACGACTGACAATGACTGACTAGCATAAAGGAGGATTACTCTACAGGTCCATTCTACACCAGGCTTGTAAAATGTTATTACAAAAAATGTAACAGAACTGAAAGATATATTTAAAGAATTTAAAAAAGTAACAATGAAGAGAATAATCTAAAGGTTATTTCCAAACTGCAATAGGTTTTTATTAATGAATGTGAGATTTGTGCCAAAAAATTGCGAAAATCGTGATTGAAGATAGTAGGGGTAAAAGGTTAATTGAATGTACAATCATCTGAGAGGGGCTTGATTGATCAAACTTTAAAGAGTTTTCTGAAGATGATTTTACTCTTTTGTGTACCAAAATCAAAAGGCCATTGTTATTTAGAGGAATGTAATTATGTTTACTTGGGTTGGCAACATTGTGGAGTATATGTAAATGTAAATAGTTGCTTTAAATGTAAGTTTAATGTAAATACCTAGAAGCTGCAAATGTAATTAGTACAGTTGTTCAGCTTAAAAAAGTGCCAAAATGAGTATACATATTCCTATTTAGTGGGTCCTCATAAGGTAAAAAATTGTAATAAAAAGCTGAAATTTTTAAACGTTTTGATTGCTAATACCATGTTTTAAGATCAATAACATGTCACTTTTAAAGCTTTGTCATTACATAATACTATTTATTATCATTAAGCTGTGAATAAACTACTCAAATTAATATGGAATGTTTCAACATCAATTGTGTAATTAACACTGTTAAACATGATACTGTTGGATTTGAATGATATAAATGGTATATTAGGTCTTATAATATTACTACAAGTTTATTAAAAAATTTAGATTATTTTAACTTGTATTAAAATACTTTTGTTAGTAAATTAAATATCATTATTTGCATACACATTCAAAATTGTATACAGGAATTTGTAATTGAAAAAGGCGATTGAATTGGTGAAGGTAGGGAGGTGATAATCAAGAATATTCTTTTGGACCTTACCCTATGTTAAATGCTAATACTAAATAATGAAAATCTATACCTTACAAAATTTATAACAATAAAAAAAAATGAACATGTATCATATGTGAAGTTTTTGTAGTGAACAGTTAACATCAACACCTGTTGAATATAATTACTATGTTGAGTGTTATAGTTATAGGCATCAGTGTTGCTGTAAATATATTCCCACTCTTGAGTAAGTCTCTTTTAAAAGACTACAGATTCGTAAATCAAGAGGCAAGGCAATGGTAAAATTCTTAGCCTAATTCAGCGAGGCGTACAAAAATCATGTGGATGTGATTTGCTTATTCATTCAATTCTTTTTTGTACTTAATCTGTCTAGTTGTAGTTGTTTTTTCTCGGAATATTAGACCGTATCTCAGGCGGGAATGAACATTCACAAAAAACTACACCCAGAAGTGAATTAACAACTTTGTCGCCTGTGGGCACGTGAAAAAGTGCCTCCAATTTTTTTAAATAACCAGTGTTTTATACAAGATAATTATTTTTCTACAGGAAATTAAATTTCTAAATTATGTATTTTCTTGACTAGAAATAACATAAATTAACCTTTTTTGTGTTTTATGCATATTTATTATGTTATATGTGCATATTTGTTATTCTACTTTTAATTCTTAAAGTTACATAGATATGTGCATTTAAAGATTGCGTAGCCTTTTTTACTTTCTTGCCTTAAGAAGGTGCTTAAGATGTAACTTTCCTAGAAATTTTTGATATTTTGCACACTTAAGGTAAAGCCTTTGCTATTATTTTTACATTTTTTGAGTTTTTTCCAATTATAACTTTTTTTTCTGCATATTTCTGCATTTTTATACAAACTTTTTTATTATTGAAGACAGTTCATGTGAAAATGATAATTTATTGCCAATACTTTTGAACAAGCACTGTAATGAACTTAATCTTGTGTTCAATTCATTTAAATGGACGTTCCATTTGAGGTTTGATTAAATTGAGGCATCACAAAATTTTGTTACCTTAACATCAGTCAATTGCACATCATTCGTTATCAATTAATACAATCATTTATTTGAAATGGTGTACAATTGTTTATTTGAAAAGTGCATTAAAATAGTTACCTTTTCGTTTATTATTGATTTGTTATGTCGGGGCCCATTTAAAAATCTGATAGTGAATATTTACCGTTTCATTATTGCAATGAACATTCATATCATCCGCAATGACCTTCGATTTCAAATCGTCGACAGCATATAGTTTACGTATAGTAGGAAGAGAATATGGTCTAAAATTGAAACCTGCTGGGCCCCATTGGTAATGAATCGGTGAGTAACTAATGTTCCATCGTTCCATTGCAAAATTCCTAGTCTCTGAGATTGTTGTTTAAGGTATGAACATAACCAATTTAAAACAAGACCATGGATTTCTAACGAAGGTCATTTTGAAATTCAAATGTGTTATGATTAAGGACAGAATTTCTGTACATTAAAAACACCACAATGTTCAAAAGTATGCAATAAAAATATCAAAACTTTGCAAAATTATGTTATGTAGCCTAAAAACTCCAGTCAATCTACTTATAAACTTATTTTACATTTTGGATGTGAAATTGAAGGGGAATGAAATTTTAGGATTTTGGTATTTTTATTATAATTAGGTTTGTTCATATTTTTTAAACAAATCTTATTTAATATTTAAGTATTATTCACACTAAATTAAAATTAACACAATTATTTTTTGGTATCTGAAGGTATTTTATAGTTTTACAAGAAAAGTGCTTAATTGATTTCATTCTATTTCACAATTATGTACATTTCCAAATTAATTTTCTGATAAATTTGCTATATCTTCAATAATCTAATTTACATTCCAGATTGGGAAAACTTCATTCTACATTTACTCTTGGCTGTGTGCCGAGCCTCACTCTGACGTAGGTGTGCACGCAGCCAAAAGCCTCCAAAAACTGCATTCATTCTCTCGCGTATCTCGCAGGGCAACATCTGTACTGTAAAATTCGATGAATTTGAAACTGTGTAGCTTGCCACCAAAATTCGCGCCCAGACATAAGGTCAAGTGGGACTCGCGCATGTATTGTTGGTTGGTGTGTGTTGGTAAATTCAGCTAAGACTGGCAAAACTGATATATCATCTGATTGGGAAGATAAAATCCCGATGGCTGAGTGGTTGCAACCAAAAACTTCAAACCGACTTTGTGGCAACATCCCAAATACCTAACTCCCAACCGCAATCTCTCAGAAATTTTAA